AAGATGAAAATAACACATTTGCACAAAGAATTGCAATTATAGTGATATATATATATTAATGAGTAGAATATAACATTCCAGTTTTTCATGGAAAATACATCAGGAAACTTACTTATCTAACGGTTATAAACCAAAACAAACATTTACAAATGGCGTTTGTTCTCTTGTTTTGAAGGTTTACGACATTCTCGTACTTTATCGCGTGGTTTCATATGCTGCCCGCGGGGCAGGTACGTTTATCTAAACACAGCTAGGGTACGTAATATATGCTGAGAAGATACAGGTCTGGTACACTTGTGTATATATAGGCCTACGTACCTCGGGTACATATCTGTAGTACCTGATACGGCAACGACCCCTTCAGCGATACTCGCGTATATTTACCCAATATATTGATACTTTTTATCGGCATCTTCAGGCTAGACGGCAAACACGTCGTTTTCGGCAAAGTTATAGACGGACTGGAAATCGCTAAACACATAGAGAAATACGGCACTCCGAACGGCAAGACGTCGAAGAGGGTGGTCGTAGCGGACTGCGGAGAACTGTAGTTCCTCCCTCTTGCATATACGAACTGCAGTGATACGATATACGCCGATGCTTCCGTCACTGGAATTTGCACAGATAGGCTTTCTCGACGCTTGCTTATGTACATATATCGCGGGGTCTGCGACGCTCTCTCTATCTCTCTCTCTCTCTCTCTCTCTCTCTCTCTCTCTCTCTCATCCTAGTTCTTTCTTTCTCTCCCTCTCCTCTGTCTCTCTCTCTCTCTCTCTCTCTCTCTCTCTCTCTCTCTCTCTCTCTTAGTCTCTCTCTCGCTCTCTCCATCGATCTCCTTGGCTGACTGCTAGCTGAAGAGCCCGGATGTTCGCCCCCCTATGTACCAGTGCTAACTGCAGTGTGGCTACAACCATGGGCCATCGACAGCCAGACAACCTGAATCAAGTGTCCGCGATGTCCAATGAAACTACTTGGCTCTACGTACGAAATGTACCAAAGATAAAATCTGTGAAAAAAATATCGCGGTAGATAAATCTTCGGTAGATATACCTAGTAACATCTTCATTGGCAATTTAGATTATAGATTATATTTAGGCCAAGTATTGGCTATAAATTCGGTAGCAATTCTGCCGATCCAATATCGAAGAGACGTGGGTCAAATGTAGAGATACACAGCCTATAATGTTACACCGCCCATCGTGGGATATAACCGAAAAAAATATTATCACACGCCGAAAATTGGGACGTATATTACCGATGAGAAACTGCATTAGTCAAATAGTTTCATTTTATTGCTATGCTTGCATATATATATACCGTATTTACTCGTGTATAAGAAGCATTCGTGTATAAGTCGCACCCCATATTTTGCCTTAAAAAAGTTGGTACAAACGTTGGTGCATTAACATGATTTCTTAGCTTCGTGTATAAGTCGCACCCCTGATTTTTGTTGTATAAGTTGTGTACAAAAAGGTGCAACTTATACATGAGTAAATGCCGTACGACTGGAGGCCGCAGGGATGTTAGAGCGTTGTTGCAGCAACAGCAGCAGCAGCAGAGGTAGTTAGAGCGAATGTCAACTGCATAACAATCAAGACTCCGTGTAACTTTAACAAGTGCCATGCGAAACTATACAAATACACACGCGAGTGTATTGTAGCAAATAATATGTTACGTCAATCGAGCTCTGTTTCGGTATTTCCGAGCTTTCATTATATATGAGGGGGGTATATTCTCGTTGTTATGCAGTATAAATAATGAGTGCGAATTCAAACGAAACGAACGTGATCGGGTATCCCGCCATTATAATGGCTCATGTACGAATTGTTGTGCACCAGAAAGTTTGATGCCTTATATGTGTATCGTGTTGGTGAACTATCGTATGCGTATAACGTAAATAATTCGTCGTTATAATATCATTTACTGCATATTCGACACGTGTGTGCGCATGCTCGCGCACGTGATATTTATTACATAGCTAATTATACATATTATATTATATAGTTGAAAACTGAAGGGTCAATAATGAAGCCTTAAAAGTATGTACGTTGCTGGTCCGTCATTGACGTTGCACTGCTGCGCAGCAATACCGTTGTGATATTATACCTAGAAAACTAAATTCACGTTCGCCTCGTTAAAATGATTATCATTCTAGTCTTTTGTCATCCAATAGCCTTTGCGTATACGTTTTTTGCTTTCGCTATATCATGGCCGTCATGAAATACACCGATAAATTTTATAGAGGCTATTTTGCTAAGACGTTTCTTGATGATAAAATGGAGACACTGCTTGGATAAAACCTACGACGGGAACGTGGCTCGTAAATATAATTATAGCGTTTATATGGTACATCTCCTCTGTTATGTTCACGCTGTGAATATGACAGTGACCAGTGCCTATGTGATAAAGCCATGTATAGCTTGCACTGCGTCAGCGTTTATCCACGTTGTTACGTACAGACAATATCCCTATAGATGTAGGCGTATAGATGTAGGGTTGAGTGCACATTAAGATTCCGCATGCACAATACATAATATTTTAAGAAAATCTAGACAGAACGAAACGCCGGGATTTTGAATGCAGCCATCTGAAATCAGCTGTTGCGTTTTGTGCTTCACATAAATAGTAAAACCACTTAGTATATATAAATAAATAGCTGGCACACGCTGACTGCCTCACAGTCATTATAGATATATTATTAAATTACTGTCAACGATTACCACACTCAATGCTTCAGTTGTTATTATTAGTGGTAAATAGTTGTCACAGCTTACGGACTTACATTAACCAGTATTCACGAAAATATATAACTTAAGTCACTAGATGATTCTCTTACCTCTTACCTTAACTATTTTTGGTAATAATAAATCATTGTCAGTGCTTCCAAAATTGCACTCACTTGCATATTGTTAAATATTTTTGCTGTCGGCGACCAGGAAAATTTCCGGAGTAAGCGGCGAACACATATAACAACGTGGTTGCGCAAGGTTATTTTCAGACGCAAAGGCATATATACGCCGTTTAAGCAAGGCCGTTATATCCAAGGCCCGCTAAAAGGAGACCATTGTAATGACAATATGCGAGGGTAACAAATATAATATATATATATATATATTTATATATATATATATATATATAAAGAGTACATAATAGGAGATTTCCTATTATAATAGGAGATCTCCTATTATGTACTCTTGATATATATATATATATATATATATATAGGCTACTGTATTCCATCCGCCCCCTAGACGATACTCAATCAAGCCACGTCTGCGTGAAACTACTTCGAAAACTCCGGGGTTTTTGCATCGCGTAGTCGCTCTCAACCCAACGGTTATGTTTTATCGTGTATAGACGCAGTTTATACTACACTTATACTATAAACTATACTTTCACTACGTATTGCCGCCACCTAACTAAGAGTTAGGTCGCGCAGGGGAATAGCAGTAAAGACATTTTCTCGCCGGAGCGTGTGCTGCAAATGGGCTCAGCATAAATAGTCTAGGCGCTGCAGATGAACTGTAAGTCCCATAGGCGTTCGACCGCATGCAAGAACAGCGCAACCTACCCCCTCCCCCACTCCGCGCAAAATTTTGCAGCGGCTGAAATTATTGAGCGGGTGCAGAGCGAGGGGAACCTAGGGCAAGGCAGGATCAGTCTAACGGCAACTTAATTCTCCCCATAGCGACTTTCCAGAAACTCACGACAGTCAAGGCGTTGATACTCGCAACGGAAACACCGTAAGGAATATCTTATAGGAATATTCGCCGATCGTCATAATTACAAAGTTAATTATTTAATATTTTAACAAAATATAAAAACAAATAACAAAGTTAAATATTTTAATATTAAAATTAATAAGTTATTATCTCAAGAAAGTTTAGAAGCGCATAAGTTATTTTATCGCGTCGGTTGGAAACTTTGCACGTGACGGCTACTATTTGTGCATCAGCAAAAAAAAATTTGCGCCTCTGCTTGATGAAATTGTGGAAACGAGATGGGTTTTTTACTGGGTTCGGATGAAGAACCATCAAAATAATGAAGGTTTTTACTAGGACACTGGCGTTTCACAATGGTAATTTGCCCAGAATCTGCAACATGTGCATGTCCCTATATAACAGTTCCACTGGGTGCAGCTATTATCTATCAACCAATAATCTTGTTCCAGTAGGCAAGCTGAATCAAGTAATCGAAATATGCAACATAATAGGCATTTTATAACATAGGTAAGTATTGCAGGATTTATCTACTATTAATTATTTTTCATCAATTAATCAGTGAATCAATCAATCGATATGTGCAACGTAAGTATGGTTACATAACAGCAAGCGCACGGTGACCTGCAATCATATACCGATCAATCAATCTAGTACATCATCCATCCATCCCAGAAAAATAACCTACTAGAGATTCATCCATGCCTCCATCCAATCCATCTCTCTTCCTATCTATGAATTGCTGCCTTGTTGATTGTTGGGGGACGAGTCTCCGTCAATAACTCTGTTAATCCATTAATCCAGCCATGCGTTCATTCGTTTATTTATCCATCCGTTCGACTATCTATCTAGGGAGCAGCATTAGGCAGTATAATATGGCGCCATTAGAAGAATGACCGACTACGCCAGATGAGCTAAAATAGCAAATTACGCTACTAATCGGTTTTTATCCATCTATATTAAAAATATAAATACATTACCACCACGTAGAAGCGGTGCACAAAGGGACTAGAACACTTGCGTTTGCTAGCAAATTAACTTAGCTCCTTGCATTTTGCCCGCAATGGGGCAGTACGAGTAATCTTGCATGCGATCAATACTCGCGTTTTTATTCAATATTTTAGCTTTGTACGTATGAAATAATATCATGTTATCCTGCGTAAAATATAGTAGATTTCATATTATTCTATTATCGTAGAATAATTTAATGCGTAAAGTAATGGATACACGTAAAGCATACATACGTAGCTACGCATACAGAAATAGTTTGCAACAGAATACCTTTTTTTATTAACATAATAAAAAGTTTATTTAGAAAATGCCACATTCACACATTTGCCAGTGCTACTATTTCATTAACCAAAATGCAAAAATATTACACGGAACTTTGAATAGAATGGTAGGCTTTGCAGTTGCCTAGCTTGCATTGAAACCATTGTGTTTGTAACTGCCGCATTTGTACAAATTCAATCAGGTTTCGAAATCGCACTTCCCCTAATGGTGTCATATATATGCTGATTTGCTTACGTAAGCCATGTAGGCGCCTACATGAATTTAAATACGCACCCGATTGGTTTTTACATGTCAATAACATACCGCGAAATCGTAAAAAATGTTGTACTGCTATTATCTTTACTTTTTGTGCTTTATATTTCTATTAAGATAACAACTTAAACTAAAAAATAAAATTACTATCAACTTGAACGGATAACTATATTTTCTGTTATACGTGACACACGCACACACTCTCACGCGCACGCACACACGCGCGCGCACACACACACACAGACACGCACGCACGCACACACCCAAACTCACACACACACACACACACGCACACGCACACGCACACGCACACGCACACGCACACGCACACGCACACGCGCACTCACGCACGCACGCACGCACGCACGCACGCTCGCACGCTCGCACGCACGCACACACACACTCGCGCGTGCAAACACATTAGTTATGTCAACAATCGAAATGATCAATCGTCAGCTATTATCGAAAGTGCTTGGATTTCTCGTAAGCGTTTGTTCATTTGATATTCACAGACTTCCTCCGATACTTCTATATTGTCCCCACGCAACGCCTTCTCTAACTCTTCGTAAATATTGAAAACCTCCCGATTGTGCTGCACCTGTAAAATAATTGTTCACTAGTAGTCACATATGCAACAGACTGTCGTTAGATCCACAGAATACATAAACCATTAAATCAAGTGCAATGATTTTCATAAAATCAAGTGCAATGATTTTCATTAAATCAAGTGCAATGATTTTCATTAAATCAAGTGCAATGATTTTCATTAAATCAAGTGCAATGATTTTCATTAATCGAGTGCAATGATTTTCATTAAATCAAGTGCAATGATTTTCATTAAATCAAGTGCAATGATTGTTATGTCTTTTATTACCTGCCTCCCTTCTTTTCATACGTCGTTCTTTAAAATATATTACACGTTCCACATCACCCTTGCCCCACGTATCAACTAAGAATGACCTTTTACACCATGATCCTATATTATATATACTGACTATATAATAAACGATATATGAGGATAACGCAAAGAAAACTTTAAAAGTGTCCTTTATAAGCATGCATCAGTTGTATCAAGGACATTTCACTGTTAAACTGCCATTGAAGGGAAACATCACAAATCTACTTTATAGACAGGTGTCCGTTTTATAGACAATGACCTCCAACACACGTTTGACACTATATAAATTGTATATTTTCTCATATGTGTTCACCACACATTGACACACGTTTCAAAGTCACGTCAGTACAAGAAGGAAACCATTTGTGATGTACTGACAAATATATTTTTGTTGTTGGTCACCCTGCTACTGAGTCCGAGCCCTCCACAGAAACTAAAGCTGCCAGTATAATACCGAATTTTACTGACATTAGTTTGTGACAACAGCTGCTATGGATGGTCACACACGTGCTCCTTACGTTCCGGGACTTACCTCTGCTTGTATGAGAGCTGCTAGGGAAGGTCGGGTGTACGCTATCCTGCTATCCCATAAATACGGAATGTCTTCCATCAGGCTCTTGTTAATAGAGACAAACTCTTCCTGAACGGGGGCCAACGCCTTCTTCGCCTAGACGAATAAAAGATTACGCTAACGTGGATGAATGGCCGAGTACGCTCGCAAAAACGAGATACGGCATCACTTAAAGGGATACTACACGTCACCCTAGAAATTTAGGGTATATTATGATAGTAAGTGCTTAAACAACAGTTATATACCTACAAATTTCTATAATTATGCATTCACAAATTGTCATAAAGCAACAGTGAGTTCCAAAATCTTTATTTTTGCCTGCTGCTGTGATTTTTGCCTGCTCAAATTATGAAAAAACTTTGCTTATTGTTTGCAAAATGTTAAATAGTGCCTACGAGATGAGATCGGCCATACCTGATCGAGCTTGACGATGTTTGTCCCCGTCTTCTCCCGCTGTTCGTATTTTTCCACTCTTGATTGTTTCTGGCTACATTCCTGAGATAAAAGGACACCATGATACATTCTAGCTCTACCGGTGTCCTTCAAGGAAAGCGTCTGGCTACATTTCTGAGATACAATAACACCATGGTACATTCTAGCTCTACCGGTGTCCATCTTGTGGAACTTCTGACTACATTCCTGAGATATAACGACACCATGGTACATTCTAGGGACACCATGATACATTCTAGCTCTACCGGTGCCCCTCTAGTGGAACTTCTGGCTACATTCCTGAGATATAACAACATGACGGTACATTCTAGCTCTACCGGTGTCCCGCTAAGGATGCTTCGCGTAGCAGAAGCAAACGGACTACACCGGTAGAGCTGAGTACATTCGGAAATGACTGGCATTATAATTAAACGCATTCAAACATATTTGTTCCACATCAATATACCATTAGTTCCACCACAGAAACTGAGAGAAAAGAAATGAAAAGATAATTTTTCCCTACAGATCTTATAATGCCATTTAACGAGCACTGAAAAGTCTAAGTTACAAACTTCTCGAAACGCCAGTGTCTATGCAATTACCTCTCAGTGACATAATGCAGACAATTCGAAAGATAAAGATCATGCTGACGCCAATCACGTTAAAATCACACAAACAAAAACTCAACGCAGGTCATGACAAGCAGCGAACAACTTGATGTATCAGTGTTAGTGTTGCTAGGGAAAAGGACATCGAACTTTCAGACAGACAATGCTAAGTGCTGCATCATGTACAGCCTGGGGCGAGACACATGACCTGCGTTGGCAATTGCAACACGCATTCTTAGCGTGGTAAGCCATCGATTGATTCGATATTCTTCAGCACGTCTTTCATGTCATGTCATATCTGACATCGGCGGCTAATTACCCTGAACTAATGAATGGGAAAAGAGCCTTGAGCAGTTTGCATGCTTACCTGTAGGAGGTGATCCCTTTTCTTCACTAGATTGTTTGCAACGGGGAAGATTGTACCGAACCTGTGAAATTAAACAAAGATAATAGTCGAGAATGCGGGGCTCAGCCTCATATATAATAATAATAATTATTATTATTATTTCGAGTCTCCTCGGGAAGTTGTTATTCTTCCTTTCTGTAGCTCATACCAGACAGGGGTCGTCACTCCTCTCTGTCTGCCAACAGCGCTATATAGCTATAGCGAATGGCACTGAATGTCACTGAAGGTCATAGTCATATATATATATATATATATATAGTCTATGAGGGTTATGCAGCCTCATAGTCAGAAACAGAATTAGTCTCAACTTCAGTCTTAACATTAACATATTCTCATAGAGGGGAAGAGAATGCACTGCATATGAGAAATTAGTAACCTTAAGATGTTTGTGTCCATGGTCTATGAGAAAAACTTAATATTAAAATTAATGTTAAGACTAATTTTGTGTCTGATGACAGGCCCCGTGGACAACATTAACAATTGTAGATAATAGAACATCGCACTATTACATGCATCCGCTTTCACCCATTTTCACAACATTGGGATATATATCTGAGCTTTAATCTGAATTTGTAAGCAGGTTAAAGTTACAGCATTATCATCTTACATACTGCTCCCTTATTCACCCATTTAAATGAATTTCAGCATTACCATACATAATTTTGCAATGCAAATACACTATCTATGTATCTTGGATGAAGGCTACACATGTAAGGTATTATAAGCAAGGTGGTCCTGCATACTAATCATGGGTAATTGATGTAATTGAATTTAGTATTCAGCATGTTTACATTTATGGGTGTCATAGCATAAATTTTTGATGAAACTGTTGATACTTACTTTCTGATAGGCTCCAACATAACCTTTTGTATTTTGGTGTTCTAAAAGAACAAGACATAACCAGATTTACATAAAATGTCACGAAACTAGTTTTGCTACTAGTCAACCCTGGTGGTAACATTTATAACAATAAAATATCATTGAAATCTAAGTTTCATATTACCCAAAATATATCAATAGCATACGAAGTCCAGGGTTGAAATAGACAGCAAGGACGTGAATTTTTCAAGTGTCTCTTGTCTATATGACCTTGTAAAATGGGCTACAACAACCGAGAAGCAATATTAAAATTATAACAAGTGCCGCAGAGCGACAGCGCCCAACTGACGTGTACTGTAGCCGGGTATTCTTCTGATAAACTCACTGGCAACCGAATCAAGTGCGCCCTCCCGCCACCGCGTTGATAGGCTTTGCTATACCGGTAGTACAGTAATAAAGATATAGCTCTGTAGCTTTAATGACTTCGCTATATTAACGTTATCATGGATATGCGTCGAGCGCGAGCGTAGTGGTGGTGGTGGTTGGGAGTGGAGGGTGGGGAGAGGGGCGGGTGGAGGGGGGCTCTAATAGCAAAAGCAGTTCAGTCCTTTGTTAACAGTCAACAAATCCATGTTTAACCTTCCTCTTGAGAGTCAAAAGGTTATCAGACACTTACTATTTGCACGTCAGCAGAAAGTAGATTTCACGGTCCTTTCAATAAAGTGATAAAAATGGTAGGACAGCGCTGAAACAAAAAAGTTTGGCCCTCGGTCCGTTAGACCATGTCCTCATAAAATGTCTGATATCTGACCTTTCCCCCACTGCCCTTTGACCGATGACCTCCAATTTCGCGCTGGTGATGGGTTTCCTCCCCATCACACTATACATCGAATATTAAGAGCATAGGTCGAGCCGTTGAGTATTT